TCAGTCCTTTAAGGGAGAGAAAACATRAAAAAAATCGATGTTTTCATCATCATAAAATATACATTTTGGACTCCTTTTCATGCAGAAGGTGGCCCTTGCAAACGAGTCAACACTAGGAAAGACTGCCACAGAGCAGGATTAAGCCTTATTTATACAAAACATCCCCTGTCCCTGAGGACAACTGGTTCACAGAGCTGAGATGTATGACCTTCTACAATTTCCTCTGGCATTAGTGTGTAGAAGGTTCTCTGGGGTAAACAATGCTTTATAAATTGTTTAAATAAGTTCTTCTCTCACAAACAATGCAGGTAGTTCCCTCTGATGATTATGTCTGGAACAGTAGAATGTGTCTTCTCATTGTTCAGAGATAACTTTCTGAAAACATTTCTTAATAATACCTTTTTTTGAATTTTGCATTTCAYTGTTCTGAAGTGTAAGTGCAACAAAAATCCCAAACCACAGGAAGTGAGGCAGGYAGGGCAGCTTTGTGTTTTCTTCTTCCACCTAACCCAAGTCCCACCTTCCCTTTAGCAGCAGTGGAATGAGGAATTTCTGCTATTTGGTACACAACATCCAACAGCAACACACTTACAGGGTGTAAATACAGGTTTTTTTCTGCAATGTTTCGGAGGCATGCAGGAACTACTTTAGTGCTGTGCTACATGTATGCAATGACCCTTGGTCAACATTACCCAAATTTAATCCTACCTATTTTAAACATTTTTGTTTTCTGAGAAATTGTAAAGGCTTTATTCTCTTATCATTAGTAATATTTTTTATAAGAATATCATTGTTGTTTCAAAGGAACACATATTCTCACACTTATTGAAGAGAAAGCTTAGAAAACCAAGTTTATACTTATTTGACGGAGACTGGGATCAGTTGATTGTATTGAAAGCATGAGGACTCATTTTAAATTATCTTTTGTTGTGTCTGCAATTTCAATTATTTGAGAAGCTTAACTGTTAAGCAGGGAAGTATATTCCTGAGTGTTTATAAACCATGTTCTGTTGGCTGGTACAGGTTAATAATTTCATTGAAACCAGTGAATCATCTCATGTTAGTGAATAGATATYGTGCATTATGAATACAACCTTAGTTTGTCTGTATTTTAAAGTAAATGCAGATCTCAGGAGTTCCTAGCTTGCTTTCACAAATATTTGCAGAGCTGGAGCAGCCATTTCACGTTGATTACTATAAAGTGATGCACAAAGATGTACTTGCCTCCTTTCAATAACATAATTGGAATTTTACAATGCAGTCATTGTAATAACATAATATTTCCTGATCTCAGTGCTTGTAAAATTAGGTCTTTAAGTTAGTGAACACTGAGATGTATGGAAATACGGCTCTTTGTTATTCAAAGCATTACAAATTCATCCTTCTTTGATGCTTTGGTTTGTAATAGTAAAGCCAGCAGATGTCATGTCATTAGATCTGTACTGCCCTTGAGTGGATCAAATTCAGCTCAGTGCTAGAACAAATAACATCACTGAAGTTTGTAAAATTGCTACACATTTGCTCCTGCTTCACTAAGGGAGCAGTGTTAAAGTGAAAAGGAATAAATAATACAAGGCTAGATGCAATGTAACATAAAGCTGCACTCCACCYTCTCTTCACATACTGTATTTTGAGGCATAAACACAGCCATTTCTTTTAAAACGTCAATTGTATTTTAACACATTCTCTGAATGTGGTGAGAAGCCAGTATTGTCTGATCTCCAAATGAAGTGAGACTTAAGGGAAGAAATGGAAGAAGGCCAAATCTTACCTTTTGCAATACAAAGTAACACATTGAATTTTTAGAATAGAATAAACTAGACCAGACCAGACCAGACTGTTATGTGGTCCAACTGCCCGAGTACCTCAGGGCTGACCAAAAGTTAGAGCCTGTTGTTAGGGGCATTGTCCACACACCTCTAAAACACTGACAGRTTGCCTGGGGCATTKAGCACCTCTGCAGGGAGCCTGTTCWGTGATGACCACTRTCTCATAAAGAAATGCTTTCTAGTGTCAGATATAAATAACTGTAAACAGAATGTTTTGAATTAAGAATATAGACCATAATTTTGGTGGTTTTCTACAACCRAACATGTTGTTCAGAGGATTTTTTAAAAAGCAGAAATAATTTTCATTCCCAGCAATTTAACAAACCCAAGGTTTTAAAATCCTCTCTTGGCCTATCCACATTTTTCAGCAAAACAAAGTTCAATTCAAAAAGCTTCTCTAGCTCTGCTCCAATCCTGCTGTTCTTCTCCAGCAATAYTGGATACTGTTTGAGGAAGAGAGAACGACATTTATTTCAGGACATTTGAGAAACTAAGTTTATTACATGTAGAGGAATTAGAAATATTTTTATTGTTTTTTTAACGGTTGTGTCYAAGTTACTCTTGCTGACAAAGTAGAATGAAATATGATGCCAYTGAAAAGCAAAGGAGTTACAGAACCTCTGAAAATTCCTGTCAATGGTCACATCCAGGTATGATCAGTTGGTGCAGAGGCAGCAGCTCCAACATCACAAAGGACATGTCCAAGGCTGGATCAAGTGGCAGTGCAACCTGATCTAGATGAAGCACGAAATCGCAGCACATGCCGGGCAAATTATCCAGAGCCCATGGCAGGGTGTTTATGAAGGCTCTGTTTTGGCTGCATGTTTGTGGGCTTAAGGCAGTATTCGCCTAAGAGACACTCTGCTGCTACTTAGTCACTTCGGGTAGAATTTTAAACAAAATTGGAGCTGTTGCAGTGAGTTTGTGTAGATTCATGGGTGTGGTGTGTTTGCAGTTTGCTCATTAAACCAGATTTGCCATCTGGTGAAGACACAGCCTTCTAAGGCAGAGAAAGGTAGGAAAGCAAGTGCAGCCACAGGCATTGGGTATTGGGATACTGTCACTTGTTCAAAATTGGCTCCAAAATCGAGGTAACAACGTCTTAAGATATTTCTGAAGAGATAGATTTAAGTATTTCATTGAGAGCATGGGGAAAAGGGACATGAAATAAGAGTGTGATGTTAGTCCATGCTAACATCTCTTTTTCTAATATAAAGTATTTCTATATTTTCTATTTGTCTACTCATCTGTTTTATGTTAAGACATAAACTTCACTCTCATTGCATCTATTTCACTCTCATTGCATCTATTTCATCTATTTGGTGCTTTTAATTTATGAATTTATTTATCATCTAATAGGCCACAATGGAGTTTGAGTTTTGTGATGTGAAGAACAGTTAAAATGAGAGAAATTAAGCAGTTTGGGCCCAATACTGTAAATTTTGCAGTAATTTCTGCTGACACAAAATAAGTAGCAGGTTTTTTTGCTAAATGGAATAGTCTAGATTTGAATATATGTCAGTGTAACATAATTCCCAGATGGGTGGGAAATGGGATCATTATTTGTTAGTGTTTTATAAATACTTTGTAATGCCATAAATGGTTAAACTAAGTGGCAGAGAATGTCTGCTCACTGTGCAACCACCTGATGCTGGAAGTAGGTACAAGGTAGGCTGGAAGACAGGATTTGAATTCCAAATTTTTGCAACAATAGAAATAATTTAAAAGATTGATTGCACMTCAGTAAAGAGAAGTGAATGGTAATGTACTCAGGGATAATCAGTTAAATAAAAACAGGGTGAGGAAACCATTGGCTTCATAAACATGAAGGAAAAAATCTGGATAATGGATCAGAGTTGATGGCAGTTCCACAAACTCACTAGTCACCATTAGACCAGCGACAATTTGGTTTGATACTTAACAAAAACACAGACTGGATTCAAGGCTTAGAGAGCTGAAACCACAGTATGCAGAGAGGAGAAAGGCACAGAGCATTCTGCAAAAATACAAYTCTTTTGTTTTGAAACAGTGATGTATACAGCAGAACATCTTCATAGCCATTAACGTTTGTAAAGACTGGCTCATCTTACCAACCAGTTCTAAAAATGGACTGCAGGCTCCCACAAACCTCATCAGATCACATCCAGGAGGAAGTGATTTTGTTWCTGTGCAGGGACTCCTACTGTATTCATTACAGCCAACAATATCAAAGCAGTGTACAGTAGCATGAGACAGCTACTGAGCATTTCTTTTCCTGTAACATTTCAATAGGATAGTATAACCAGTAATGTATTCCCTAAGAAGATAAATAACTTCTGGCATTTTAGGGTTTTAACATTTCAATAGCTCTTTTTGTTCTAGGATATTCTATCATTGAGAAACATGAGTAGCTGGAAATGGTTTCTTTTTGTATTTGTCTGCACTTCTTTCATTTTCCTTCTCTTCGTGCTTCTCTCTCACTTCTGAGTTTGACCTGTATAACCTCACTAACACACATAAAATATATAACACATTAAAAAAAAAAAGGCGAAAAAACCAATAAAACGAAACAAAAAAGCAGAATAATAGCTTGTATCACAAAAGTGATAAACAAAAGTGTGCCAGTGTCTGGCACTCTGAAATCAGCAGAAGAACAGCATGCTCTGGTAACAGGGAGCTGAGTGTCACTTGTCAGCTCTTGCTGGCCACATCATTGGGTCTGGCAATTGTGGGAAGCGTTGGTCTGTGTCAGGAGAGCAAACATCAGCATTAATTATTATTGCGGGATAATTTGTAATGTTTCTTTATTCTTTTGTTAAGTTTCCCTTTGGGACGCTTTAGGGACTGATGTTTATTTCAGTTATTGTTTATTTCCATCTTCCTTCTTGTTGCATTCCGAATAGCTCTCAGAAAGTCWGCAYAAAATAYGGATTMGATCCATTCCYGGACAGCCAGYACAKAGGAGAGGRACGAAAGGAGRAAGAGGGAAAGAAACCAAAAAATTAGATAAAAAGAACTTGAAAGATACTGCAAAACTCCCTCAAAGCTGAAGTTTGGAAAGGATCAGAAGATGAAAGCAAAATATGAAGGTTAACCTACAGATAATCACAGTGGATATTGGAATTGGATAAAATTTGGATGTACTTTAGGAAAACCGAGCAGTTGAAGAAGACCACTTAAAAAGTGGTGACAGCTGTGGCACAGCCGGGTGTCCGCCTGATGGCTCATTCCCTGCAGCGGCTGAGTGAAGATGAACTGTGCATCTGCACTCGAACGAGCAGCGCCGGCATCCCACCCACACGGACAGCGGCTCCGGCAGTGCGGTTTCCCGGAGGCAATTGCGCGGCGCGGAAGTGACGCCGGGCGGGAAGTGACGGCGGGCGGCGGGAGCGCGGCGGAGCGGGGTCGGTGCGGGCCATGAACAGCCGGCTGCAGGAGATCCGCGAGCGGCAGAAGCTCCGCCGGCAGCTCCTGGCGCAGCAGGTACGGCCGGCAGCATCCCAGGGAGCGGGGGGCCTGGGGCGACCCGCGGGCCCTGTGCCGGGCGGATCCGCCGTGGCCGCGGCGTGACTTTGTGTTTCCCGCTGTGCAGTTGGGGGCCGAGAACGCGGACAGCATCGGCGCCGTGCTCAACAGCAAGGATGAGCAGCGGGAGATCGCGGAAACCMGGGAGACCTGCAGGTCTGTATCGGCGAGCGGTGTCTGTGCCAAATGGGGGTCAGCMGGAGTACAGGCCCGGGAAATGGGGTGGGATTGCACTCGCTGAAAGAAAACGCTTTAATTAGTCAAAKCAGAGCCTTGATTAAGGCGAGTAGGGTCTATTTGTTCCCTTCTAGCAGCAGCTTAGAAATACAGGCTGACTTGTCTCTCGTGTTAAAAAGCTACTGTGTAGGAAAACCGAGATCTGAATTCAGAATAAGCCACCTGCTTTGTATCAGAGCCTTCGTGCTTTTCCTAAGCACATTTAGGGCGGTTTAGTTTACAAGTTCTCGTGGAACTACAGATGTGTCTAGGACAGAGCAGCTACTGCTTATCAATTCTCACGTGTGTGAACAGGCTTAGTTTTGTATATGAACTGTTTGAGGGTAAAATAAGCTGTACCTTTTAGAGCAAAAGAAATGAGAAAGGGAAGGGAATTAACTTACTTCTGTAGATGGTCTGYGTTGCTTAAAATGAGCTGTACTTCTGAGAGCAGAAAAATAATAAAGAAATTATGTTCTTTTTAGGAGTTCTGTCCTTAGTAAGTTGTGCTGTTCTCRAATATACTGAGAGGAACAGCTTCTACTATATGGTGTTCTGAAATAGTTTCAAACTTGTAACATGCAGTCAAAGCAGATTATGAAAGACTCCTAGCAGTTTTCTTTGGAGACAGAATCTTTCATATGAGGATTTTTGGCTCTTCATAGGGCTGCTTATGATACTTCTGCACCGAATGCAAAACGTAAATATCCAGATGAGGGAGAAGCTGATGAGGAAGAGATTGAAGAATATAAGGTATGAAAAAAAGAAAAAAGTTACCTTTCTCTGGTGTTCTTGTGTCCCTGAGCTACTAAAAAATGTGTATATAAAAATAAATGTGATGTGTACAGATCCTTTAAMATGTGTTTTCCACAGTGGCATCTCCCTTGATGGCTTCCACTGCAGAAATTACAAGAAAATAGATGCTATGTGGTTCTCTTCACGTGTGATGTAGGTGCATTGAACTGCACATGCATCAAAACCCAATGTGTGGAAGCTTMATTTAGTGCTGCTCCTAGGAGGAGRCAGGCTTGGATGTTGGTGCCCTCAGGGAATGGCAGTGAGCCTTTGCTGGCTGTGGGAAGAAGTGGTACAATGTCTCTGTGCTTGGGTACATGCGAAAAGAATCTTGACCAGAATTCTGTTGTGTCAGAAGGAAAGCTTGCATTAAGCTGCAGGCACGGGCCATGAGATGAGAGATGGGAAGGGTGAGGGTGTCTTCTGCCCCATTTGTGCAGTGCCAAGGAATGCAGTGGAAGAAACAAGGGATTCTAAGGGAATTGAAGTTAGCAGCTTGGAATTGAAGTGAGAGGCTTGGTTTGAGATGTCCTTTATGTGTCAAAAATTTCCAGGAAGAGCTAGGTTTAAACAAAAAACCTCAAAATGCCCCCATGGTCAYTGAAGAGTGAGTGCTTGTCAAACTCTCATGCCCTTCACTTTTCAGAAGCTCATCCCAAAGCAATTTGGCAGCTTTCTCATTTCATACCTAATGTGATGTTTTTGGCCAGGCTGAGAGGTAGAAAGAGRTTAAACACAGGCCTGATTATGATACAGCTGTCTTCATGATTTGCTTTGGGATCTGGTTGCAGTGTCTGTCCTCCTTCTTCCTTTTTCCATGTCCTAATAACCTTGCTTCTGTGGTTAGATAAAATCAATGTCAGTGTATTTATGAAATAATGCAGTGTCTGCTGTTCTCTTGGATGCCTAAAAATAGTAGTTTTGAAATACAGAGCCTTYATTGTGTTACATTTGTATTCAGGTTTGTAAATCTTTCTGTAATAACATCTATCTTTTATTTTACTAGACCAAAAAGTTAATGTGTGACAGGATGGTTTTTGATGATTGATTGTGAAACTCTCTGTAAAGGGACAGACATTTTTTTTAACATTATTAGTGTTCATATGTACATTCTCTTTAGTAAAGAAATGAAGTCACCGTCAGATAGATGGGTGTTTGTGAATCAGGGTTTTTATTCTTTCATTAGTGATCAGTTAATATCAATTTATTTTACTTCTTCACCAAGTACATGGTGAAAGAATTAAATTTTRATTATCTATAAAATATATATGGATAAGTCACTTGGGTTGGCAAAGTACATGAATCTTCTCATTAAGATTTTTTTAATCAGTGTGGAGAAGGCTTACCCTGAGGTGTGCTGTAATCATGTGYAAGTGGCCAGACTTCTGTATTGTTGAAATGGAAGAATATTTTAGTAACAGTCACTCAGACAAAATTCAGTGGAGCAGATGAATAGACTTCAGAAACTTGAAACCCCAGAGTAGAACATCTATAGYGGAGTCATCAGCTGTTTCCTGCAGGCATTGCTAATTCCCTATTGGCAAGGAGATAAGAACAGTAAAATTCCTTCTACATTTATGTAACCTTTTCCTGAGCACTCTGAGCCTGCTTAAATTTAGTCTTGTAATATGAACTCATACAAAAATCTGGACCTTTATGGTGTCAAACCCTATTGCATTGTGTGTAATGCAACTTAGACAAAAGCAATAATAGACTTAATTAGTTGTGTTGTGGGCAAATCTTGCAAGTTTGCTCATTTTGTTAGAAAAATCAGAAGTATTTCTGATGTGAAATGGTATTTGTGATGTGAAATGACTTGTCTCCATATCCCTGACTTTCACTGTTGGGTTCTGTGTGATGGGACCGGGTAAGTCTTCTTCAATGGTTTAAAGTTTGTTTGCCCTGGCTTCAGATTTGGTGGAAATGAATGTACCCTCGCCCCTGTGAGAGCAGTTGTTGAGATAAAAGATGAGGTATTTTACTCTTCTCAGCCATACAGGAATATCTGATGAAAAAAAAAAAAAGTAAACAAAACCAAACAAAAATACAAACAAAAAAGCAATGTGTTTTAATTTTGGTGGGGTTTTTTTGTGGATTGGTGTTTGTTTTTTCTGTAGAGTAAGTGTAAAAATTTAAAGTTAGGACATTGAATTGTGGTTCTGAAAAACTCCTAAAATATTCTTGTTCTTATGGAACTGTAACAGTTGTCCCAGGTCTGTATTTGGAAGTGACAGATAATGGGATTACAGTGTCTGCTGCCACTGCCAGGCTTTTCACCACCTTCTGGGAGCTGTTAGTGATGTTCCATCCCTTGCCTTCCCCAGGTGATTKGATTCAATTGTTTGAACTGATATGAAAGTCAGGTGTTTGGAGTTTTAACTTTATGTGGAATACAGAAACACTTGTGGTTCTGCTGTGCTGTCTGCCAGCCTCATTTGAGACAGCTGGGTTCTGCTTTGTTTTTGCAAGCAGAGGCCTGTGAGCTTGGGATGCTTCCATGCCATTGTTGTGGAGGCTGAAAAAAACTTACTTGGATGAATCATGAATTATATCTATCTCCAGTTATTTGAAATAAACTATGTTTGAATATTGTGGGTAGTTTCTGTTTCCCTAGCTCAGCAACTCTATACCAGGTGTTTTGGAAAACACAGATAATGAATGTACAAGAATGTAGTATCTTGTGTTATTGCTGATGTTGTTCTGTGTCTGCTTCGACTGTGTCCTTTCCCTTTGAAAGTTGGTCATGTGGGCTTTTGTTTGTGGCCACAAGACTCTTTTAAAACCACTTCTGAAGGCATAAGGAGAACTGGAATGACTCAGGTATCCAACTGGTGCTTGTTCATCAGGGGACAAGATTTAGAGAAGGATGGAAGAGGGAAACAGGTTTTATTTATGATGGCATAAGCAGTTTTCAGTAAAGCTCAAGCTTTCAGGTTTTGGGGTTTTTTTGCCTGAATAACGCTGCTGCTGCTTGTCTGTGCATTTTTCCCTGCAAGCACTGTTCGTGTTTCTGATAGTAATCTTTTTGATCTGGTTAAAGAGACAAGCAAAAAGACTGTGTATCTCTTAAATTCACCACCTGAATAGGGAAAGGGAAGCTGTGATTTGTTTATCACATCAGGCTTTCAGAAGTTGGTTCAAGCTCCACTTTGGAAATAACAGAAGCTTACTTACAGATTGTGGCAGAGGGATTAACATTGGGAGGGACAACACTTAGTTTTTTATTCTGCATTCTGACAGCTTATGTAGCATAGGATAAATACAGCTGTGATAATATGATAGGTGATAGCAGTTAGTAGTCCTTCAGTTGTATTTCTCTTTTTTACAAATCTGTGTACTGGGTTGATCCAGGATCAATGGGAAGGCAGAAGGTGATGTGAAGAAGTGAGTCTCTCCYGAGTTTCTGTTCTCTCTCAGTTCTRTGTTGGAGTTCAGAGTACATTGGTGTAACAGATCTCTGAATCCCAGAAATCTATTAAATGAACAGTTAGTGGCTCTCTAGATATTTTTCATGTAAAYTTTGGGGCTGTAACATAGGAATGTTGAAGTTACATTTAAAGAACAGTCCAAATGAAATACTGACTTAAATCATGAGCTGTTTCTGCAAAGTGTGGACTTTGCTAAGGCTGGAAAACAAGAGACCATTGTGGATAAAAATGCTCAGAAGTTCTGCTGCAGATGAACTTCAAAAAATATATGCTTTGTTTTGGTTTAAGGAGTGAAAGCTTTGTGGGACAAAAATTAAAAATTCTGCACCTTCTAAAGCATTGTCAGGGGCTGAAAATGAAGGGGTTCTTATTTTATTCTTCTTTCAGAGGCCTTTCCCAGAAACACTCTCCTTGTTAGTGAGAGGTGCAGACTTCTTGGGGAATAGGAAATTTTATTTCCTGTCCAACTCTGAAGCTGGAACCATTCATGATCTACTGTTTACAGACAGCCCATTTCACATTATGATTCTGCTTCTTACGGAAAGGACAGAAACAGCATGATCTTGCATACTTGTAATACCTGCTTTATTTCCAAGGATGAAGTAGAGCTGCAGCAAGATGAAGAGAACYTGCCCTATGAAGAAGAGATCTACAAAGATTCCAGTACCTTTCTTAAGGTGAGCTGCTTTTGCATTTTGCAGCGTACTCAAAGCTTGCATTGTTGTGTTAAACTATTTCTGCAATGGATGGGATTTGAAATAGAGCTTTGAAGGCTGAAGTGGTGGCCTGGAATTCCCAACTATGGAAGTTTCCTGTGAAACATCTGACTGTCACTGGTGTTGGCACTGTTCTGAGGCAGCTCTCAATGAGCTGCCAGAATGGTGGGACTGATTTGAAACTGAAATGATGGTCTTGACCAGTGGAACTTACAAAGGCATGTTGGTAGAAAAGATCACCTGCTACTTTCTCATTTATCACACTAACACAGACTGTGTATGTCTATGTCCACTTATCTCCCTGCTGCTCTCACTGAACTTCTTCCTGTTCTCCAGGGCACTCAGAGCTTAAATCCACACAACGATTACTGCCAGCACTTYGTGGATACAGGACACAGACCCCAGAACTTCATCAGAGATGTTGGTATGTCACAGCCAGTAACTGTTTGAAGATGACTCATTTAATTCCATAACACTTCTTTTTTTCCCCTTTTTTAATTTTTTACAGTTTCTAACACTTCCTTGTTTTGTCTCAGTGTGCATACATATCAATATAGACATTTACATGAATGKTTTTATTTTCAGTTATTTAGAAGGTCATTGTTACCAAGGATGCTCTTACCAAGGTTGCTTTCACTGTTGGTTTTACTTGAAAGTATTACACCTGGAAGATTTTTTTTTTTCCAAACCAAGCTCTTTTGATTCTGGAAAGTAGATGAGTTTAATGGGCAGATGTTAAAGCCTTTGGAAGTTTACAGTTCACTTGTGTATTGGGTTGTATTGCCTCTTAAGCATGTAAAGTGTGGAAAATACTTAGATTTAAGTCAGTGAGCACTATGGATRACGTTTCCCAGCTCCATTAGGTGACTGCTCATTGGAAGGCCCAAGTTTAGAGGATGTTGTTTACATGTATCCAGATGCTACTGAAAYGATGCTACATTGGGCCTGAATTTGAACTTGCTAAAACTAAGGCATGATTTGGTCTGTTTACTGGAATAGGTGCCTGGCATTTGTTTTTTAAAAAAAAGCAGGACGTCTCCCTCTGCAGTTTTATGCAGTAGTTCTCCCTGTTTTATCAAGTGTAAGGTTGCCAAGGCAAGTGGGTTGTGTTTCTAGATGGCAGCCCAAAGAGGTTTCTTTTGCCTCCAGAGGCTTTTAGTTTATTCTTCTCTATTTTTGGTGAATGCTTCTGTGAAACAGAAGGTGCTGTATGTCATTAGACATGACCCAAAGAAAAAGCATCTAAACAAGTGCTGGTTCTAGAACACCCAGTCCYACCTGTTTGATGTTGCTGTTGGAAAACAGGGAGAGACCTGTGGGTCTGCGCTTGGTTAGTTTGGGGTTTTTTAATTGAAAATTCTTTTACATCTGTTGCTTAGCTGCTGATAACTTCTGTCTCTGCTGGCCAGGGGTGTTTGACTCCCAATGGCTGGAAGTAGCACAGTAGTGGAAATCAGGAGAACACAGTGGTGGTTTTAAGCTGWTACATATTTAAGGGAAGGGATGAAAATGACTTTTGGGTGTTTTATGATAAATAGTAAGATATAATAGAGGTTAGGTACTGAGAACTTWGCTTTTATCACTGAAGTTCTTGGATTGAGAGTTCATATGTTTGAGTTAAAGTCAAGAGAGGGATGAAGGGTTTGTGGGTTTGAGTGAGGTTTTTTCCCCCAAGTGATCAGTACAATTTCARGTTGTGCATTTGAATGAACACAGARCCTTTTAAGTGRCTCCTRCTGAAGTTGAACTGATACTGCTTTGAAAGCAGAAATGGTACCTTGTTGGTTTGTGCTGAGGCTGCTGCTGGCAATAGCAAACCCATTGTCTCAAAAGAGAGAATGAAATAAACTGTGAAGTGTAATTTCCTTGTTAAACCATTTGCTGCAAAAGGTCTAATTAGGGTTCTCCCCTTTGTATTCTGTACTCATGAAAGGTTAGAAAATTGACATGATAAAGCTAAAGGTAGGAACGTGTTCAGTTCTTCATCACTCACACTACAGCACCAAATCTCAGTGCTAGGGTTGCCTCAGGCAACCAGCCACACCCCACGTGCCAGCTTGGAAATAGTCATCAAAGATTACACAGAGTGTGCTGTAAATGAACGTTAATTAGATCTTCATATAAATTTATGGATGAGGGAAAACCAAAACAACTTTCTCTCATCATCCCGGTGCTTTTAGTTTAAATGAAAAGTTGTTTCAATCTGGTAACTGGAGTTGTGATCTCCTGATCYACTGTAGTGCTCTAGAGAAGATCAGAGCATAGGTGCTGCTTCAGTAACAGTTGTAATTAGCTGGGTGAGAGCAGGAGGCTTTTGTCAAGTACTGAACAAAAAACTGCTTTAAAGGGTTTGGTTTGTTCTAACAAAAACCTAAAATGAGGCTGAGTATTAACATTTGGACCTATTCAGAATACTGGACAATGCTTAATTGATACAGATTTACTCCGTTAAGTAGTTGTTAACTTCATGTTTTCTTCTTCTTAGGCTTAGCAGATAGGTTTGAAGAATATCCAAAACTTAGAGAGCTCATCAGATTGAAGGATGAGCTGATATCTAAATCTAACACTCCTCCCATGTAAGTGTTCTTGTGGAAAATGCCTTTCTTCTCCAGACCTGTTTGAAGTTAGCTGTCTGCTTTGCAAATCTCTATCTTCAGCACCTGCTTAGAATTTACATTTTCTCTTTCTGTTTGTGTATACAAGTTAATCARTTGAAGCATAGAAGAATAAGATCACTTTTTTTTTACTTTAATCTAGATGTTTAATATAGTGTATAAACTAGATTTGCTTTCMAGTGTGTGATTATTTATAGTATATAAAGCTTTGATTTTTTTGAGACCAAATTGCCAACTGATTTGGCTGCAGGCTTTAATTTGGGAACTAAAAGAATATCGTGTGATCGTGACTCTCATGTTATGGTGTGGTTTATGATAACAGGAAAAGCTTTAAAAAATTGGCCTCCTAATATAACCTTAGTTTTTCTTTTACCAGCTGTTTTTTGTATASCATTCAACTGTTATCTTTGTATCCATCAGTCACATGTTACTTTGGAGTCCAAAAATGTTTAGGCTGACTGGAAGTCATTTGTCCTTACTGGCTCTGAATTACCTCAGAGTTTTTGCTGAATGTCACACACAGCCTAAGTGTGCAGCATGTTACTCCAGGRATTCAGACCTCTCTGAATTTACCCTAATGCTTGTAATGTGCAGCATCTTAATCTGTATCACAAAAAATAGCTTTATTTAATGATAGTTTCATAAAATCCCATGAGATAGCTGAACAACTGAGTGGAAACTGCAGAACTCAACCTGCTATTTTGAGCTAGGTATGTTTTGGCATTCTTTGTCATCAAGTGGAAAAGGGAGGGGAAATGGTAATCAAATGCTGCCTTCTGACCACACCAAGTACACACATGGAATCTTTTCCACACACTTTTTTGGGAAAGGGAAGGTGGTGGTGTGCTAAGCAGCTTTCTGAAGAGTAAAGGTATTTAGGAGAGGCAGTGCAATTTTTTGATAGTGATACAGCAGTGAGTGGTATGAAGCTGTGAAGGAGAGTCTTTAGAGTATGGGTTAGTGTGTATTTAAAATCAATGTGTGTGGGAATTTTGCTTGTTACAGGAATAGAGAAATACATTTATACTGTATAAAAAGTAACAATGTCTCCAGTATTTAGAATCTTTGGAATAATTCTAAAAATATGCTACTTTCCCAGTTAACCAGGCAGGGAATGTTTGCTTCTTAAATGTTTATGTTTCCTGCTGTTATAGTCCATGGATATACAGAAAATACTGTGAGTCTGTACTGAATATTTTTGTACAATCTGTGGGAATCTTGTTTCCTGCTTGCTAAGTTAGAATCCTAAAAACTGTTTATTAAGACTACTTAAAAAATAGAATGCAATAGCATCCAGTCTTGAGTAAGTGAAGATGTGTTTTGGATCTCCTCTGGATTTAGAGCATTTGAGATGTGTAACCCACCCAGCAGACCCTGCTCTTAACTGGGTCCACAGGAGTGCTGTGGGGAGTGTAGTTCTGCTGCACCTTGTCCAAGCAGTCTGGCTTCTTCTGTTTATACAGGTATCTACAAGCAGATTTGGAAGCATTTGATATTAGGGAACTGAAGTCCAAATTTGATGTGATTCTCCTGGAGCCACCATTGGAAGAATATTACCGAGAGACTGGCATTACTGCCAATGAAAAGTGCTGGACCTGGGATGATGTAAGTACCTTTTTTGCTGTCAAGAACATTTCATACATTTGTTTAAGCAAACAGTTTCAGTTTTAATTTAGTAAATAAAACTTTTGGTTCTCTCTGAGCCTGGCTGAAAATATAATTGTAGTAATAGTGGCTTTTCTCTCTGTCCTTACCTTCACTGAGCTTTTTCTTTGATTTTCTTTTTGCTGTTGGAATACCAAATGTCCATTGAAAATATTTCCTTGTTTCCTGAAATTCTTGAGATTTGTAACACATAGTTTTTAACATGCTGGTCTTCTAGTAAAAAGTGTAGGTAAGTTTTCTTTACTACATTCCTCCATTCTCCAGGTATTGAATGGGTAGGAAATTTTAATGATCAAACCTATTCTAATCCCTAGAAGTGTAACAAAATAAATAAACCTTGCTTGTGGAAGTCTCTCTCTTGTATCTATTAAAAAATGGTGCCTAGCAGTGCTGCCCAAGGAAAAAACATTCCATCCTAACAGAAAAACCGGAAATGCTGGAGGCAGGACTCAYCCTCCTAGTTTGGAATCATATCCTCTTAGCATGGCTCCTGCTGCATTATTTTTCCTTGGAGGGCACTGAATGAAGCTTGATTTGATGTGTTAGCACATTAGAGATGAAGCCTTTCAACTTGTGATGACTAACAACAGATGCTTTGCATCCGAAGCTATTTCATCTTGAATATTTTTCATTTGTCATCGTTGAACCACTGTCCTTAYAAATTCTGGATGCTTTTCCTGAAAGTGAAAGTGGAGAGAATATCTTTCCTATATAGTGATAGGAATTAAGCTGGGATTTTTGTAACGTGTCTTCACAAGCTTCACCTAAGTACTTACAGGGAGAAAAAGAAACACAGTACTATTGTGTCTGTATTAAATGGTTTTGCTGCCAATGGAATGACAAAATGAAACAGAGATTTGAGGTTTGTACTGGTCTTAGAAGTTTTTTATACAGATAGAATTCGTTTGTCATGGTTTTCTCAGCCCCAGGCAGCTGCTTCCTCAGTCCCCCACCAGCRGGACTGAGGAGAGAACTGGAAGGGTGAMAGCTTTAAAACTCATGGCTTGAGACAAAGACAGATTAATAGGGAAAGCAAAAGCCATGCACGTCAGCAAAGCAAAACAAGGAACCAGTTCACTTCTTGGGCAGCCAGGTGTGCTTCCTGATGGTTTCTGTGGCAGTGCCTCAACACTCAGTATTCTTCCTGATGTAACTGGTGATTCGTATTGAATTCAGGAGCGCTTTTATTCCTCTTATTATTACTAGATCATGAAATTGGAAATTGAAGAAATTGCAGCCCCAAGGTCATTTGTGTTTCTGTGGTGCGGCTCAGGCGAGGGTCTGGATCTCGGCCGAGTGGTAAGATGTTGTTTTAATTCAATTTATCAGGGACAGGCTTAAGAGTTTATTTTTATCTTTGACTTCTCCCTGTATAGAATTCTAAACCCTAACTACTGAGGGATGTTTTGTTACTATGCTAGAGGATATGTAATTTTAAGTGGCATTAGCTGTTTAGATACTGTTAATGTCCAGAGGAGTCATTGACTGTGAGAAARCATAATTCCATGGGCTCTTGGCTGCATGTTGACAAGAGCAGCAGGTTGCCAAGTTACAACTTTTTTTAACAGAAGTCTAAGTAGTTTTTTGCCAGAAATACTCATGCTAAGAGAAAGGTCGTACTGTTTCATAAGTTGAGATACAATTGTAATCTTTCTGCATGCCAGCCCAATGCTACTTGTGTTGGGGATGCTGCAATGGGAATTCCCAGTTGGCTCCTGCTGTGCTGAAAYATTCTTTGTTTAGTTTGAGCAGTGCTTTCCATGAAAGCAATTCACAAACATAAGGGCAGCCTGTGGTTATTGATGTGTTTGCTGTAGTTGTTTTTTGATCTGAAGTTGGCCACATAGATTGAGTTTGGTCATGGGCAGATTTGTGGTAGCTGGACAGTCCTTGAATAAGAAAAGTGAAATGTTTTTGTGAGTGTTCAGTTCAGGTTACTTGATTTTTTTGTGTAAACTGTTTTACTTGTTTGTAATATTTAGTGTCTGCGCAAATGGGGTTACAGAAGATGTGAGGACATTTGTTGGATTAAAACAAATAAGAACAACCCTGGCAAGACAAAGACTCTGGACCCTAAGGCTGTGTTCCAAAGAACCAAGGTAAAGGATTGGCTCGATTCCTCCTCTGTTTCCATTCTGCCTTTGTGCTAATGACACACCTGGCATTGGTGACAGGCTTGTGGGAGAGCAGACAGGAGGGCGTCCGAGTTCTGGAATTAAACTTAGCAATACAATTTGACTAAACTTAATCTCAAAATAAGTCTTTAAATCTGTAGATTTTAAATTGATCTAATAGTAAGAAATAACAATAGAAAACTGGCTCTAACTGCACACGTGCAGATGTGTGCCCAGAGCTTGAACCAGAGAAGAGACTGCTAGGGAGCAGAGCTCAGAAATCATCTCCTGCCTTCCTGAAGATGAAGCACAAGTGATAGAATGGGCCAGCCTGGTTTTAAACCAGACATTTTTTGAAAGATCTGTTGTGGAGGGATGTATATTGAAGGAGGTGCAGATAATAAAAAAAGTGTTCTGATTTGAGTTTTAAATCTATGTTCAAAACTTTAGAGAAATGTAGATGGGATTCATAAGTAATTGTTTGGTGTATATATSAGTGTAACTGGAAGTTTTACTGAGTACAGAGAGCTGGCTGGAAATGTATTGATTTCAAGTGTCAGTGAACCTCAAGACTCCTTCCTCATTCATTTATCAKTCATTAGCATTAAACATCCTCAAGTCTGCCTCAAATTGCCCATTGTATAAACTTCCMTTTAAGATATCTGCAATCTTTCTTTGACTTGCATTTACATTAATCTGAAGTTTGTTTGAGAGTGTGTTGTATTTGTGATAAATATTTATAAGTATAAATATTGTGTGTTTGTTGCATATAGAATTGCAAATATGTGCAGTTAGTTCCTGAGTGAAAATTTAAAACTAACAACAGGAGGATTGGCRGGGGGCACTTTATTTCTTTGTTTAACAAAGGAAAATAGTTTCTGGTATGGGGGAATCTTCTCTGTTTATTGAGCAAGARTTGGGCTGAGGTCACTGTTTGTTATAAACACTGAAAATGGAGTGTGTTTGCTCAGCCTGAACAAACAGTCTGTTGGGCAAGCTGTGTTTGCCAGTGGTTCCAGCAGCAAATGCTGTTCTGTTCTGTTTGGCTGAGGCATCTCTGCATGGGTGCTCAGTGCTGTGGCACCACTCAGAGGATCCCAGGTATGTGTGAGTGACATGCTGTTGGTATGGAAGGAAAATGTCTGGGATTGTTCTCCTAAGGATGGATTGACGAGGCCTGGCTCAGTGGGTAATTTGCTTAGCACTATTCTGCCTTTCACTCAGATAAATGTGAGGTCCAAACCCCTGTTGCATGAGCGCAGTACCAACTGCATAGATTTGATAGGTCTGATGTTTTGCCTTTCATGGTTACCCACTAACTCTGTAAACCGTTTCCAAAATTTGGGAACGATTACACATCTTGTGTGCAAGCCTTTCCTGAGCCATCTGGTGGCGCTTAGTGAGTCAGTGTTTGATCCTGGGGAAGATCACTCATACCAAGACACAGAGGTCTGAAATGAGTATGTAGGAGCCTCTTTTCATCCTGGAACAATTGTGGAGATTCCTCATTCATGGATGCCACTATCACTCAAAGTGGTCTGCAGTGTTTTAGATGGAAGGAAAACAGTGCATGTTACACCTCAAGAACACTTAATGTGTCTGAGCTGACTGAGAGTGCACTAACAGAGTCATAGTGGTTGTGGGTTTTTRTGTGGTAATMTCTTCTAGAAAGRAATCTGAGGGGAATTCTGAGGGYYACTTTAATAACAGAGGTACACTRTTRWAAAGTGCATCTTAYTTCCACTGTCTTATGACTGAAAACKTWGAAAATTATTGTATGAATAAAGTTAGGATCAGAATGCTAGAACAGGTATTAACCATAATTAATAATTATTCCTTTGCTCTTGCCATCACCTTTTTCTCTTTTGCCTTGTGGAGACTTCTCAGCCTTTATAACCTAAAGTTCTGTAATTGAAGAAGTTCAAATATCTTACTTCAGCCTTTATTTGAATTTTTCCACCTCATAGTGTAGTTTACCATACTTCAGCTTAAAGTATTGCTCTGCTTTGTTCAGAAATGGCTCCTTTGGTAGCTCCAGCTTTTCTGCTCTAGTTCATCCTTCAGACTTTTCTCTCTTATAAGAGAGGGATGTACTCAGCCTAGAACTGCCTTTGCTGTCCGTTGTGCTCACCCTGGCACAGCAGTAGGTGTGACAGGTGACAGTTGTGTGTGTGTGCAGGAGCACTGCCTCATGGGCATCAAGGGCACCGTGCGCCGCAGCACCGACGGGGACTTCATCCATGCCAACGTTGACATCGACCTCATCATCACAGAGGAGCCTGAAATCGGCAACATAGAGAAACCCGTGGAGATCTTCCACATCATTGAGCATTTCTGCCTCGGGCGCCGGCGGCTTCACCTCTTCGGGAGGGACAGCACAATTCGACCAGGTAACTGCTTTGTTGGTTTTGGTCAAACAGTAAAATCCATTTCCGTGTCCTGAAGAGGCTTCCAGATCTATGTCACAGGTCAGACAGCAGATCTCAAGGAGATACRTTTTTGGTGTGTGTGAAGATCTGTCTGTCACAAAACTGTTGTTAGGAAAGTTTATGACAATTATAATTTCTATAATTTTTATCAGAATAAATATTTTTGTTAAACAATAGTTTTGCTCATCCATGTGTTCAATTCCTCAGGGAGCATAACAAAATCCAGTTGAGATTCCTTTCCCCCATGTGCTTACACTTCTCAGAAAAGTTGTTTTCAACCCCTATGAGCTTAGCACTATTGCCAGTGTCTGAAGACCCAGTCTCACAGTGGGTGCTGCATCTGGCATGATGCAAAATGCATAGAAGTACATGGAAAAGGACACATTGTTCAGGTATTCCTTCAGTACTGCTGTTGGAGAATTCTTGTATGTCAGTGGCTCACAGAGTTAGGTTACTCTGATTGAACTTCTGTATTTTTTTAAAAACGTTGTGGTGTAAGGACAAGTAGGAAGAAGGGGTAGCAGCTTGTGAAAGCACAGTATGTATGTTGCCACAGCCATGTGTAATTAAAAAAAGAAAGGAAAATAAGCCCTTAGAAATACCAAACTGAAATTCTAACTTTTCAGCAGCTCTAGAGGTCACTTTTCATTCTGTTCAGTGCAGGTGATGTGTAGGTAAGGGTCTCTCCCTCTCACTTGAGTGTTCATTTCCTGGGAAAAGGACARTGGTGGCCTTGAAGCCTGAAGTTTGTTGTTGCTTCTGTTTACTGTGCCTTTGTTCCCCAGGTTGGCTGACGGTGGGACCGACCCTCACAAACAGCAATTTCAACGCAGAAACGTATTCCTCGTATTTCACRGCTCCCAATTCCCATCTGACCGGCTGCACTGAGGAGATCGAGAGGCTGCGGCCCAAGTCCCCACCACCCAAGTCCAAGTCTGACCGGGGCGGGGGTGCCCCCAGGGGAGGAGGAAGAGGAGGGACTTCGGCGGGACGGGGAGAAAGGGGCAGGGAAAGGAACAGAACCAACTTCCGTGGGGAGCGGGGCGGCTTCAGAGGGGGCCGTGGAGGGACCCATCGAGGGGGCTTCCCCACCCGCTGAGGAGGTAACAGCTGCTTCCCTCGGCCTACACCTTGTGTAGGAATCCTTTCCATAGTCTTGTTTTTCCCACAGTGAATTCCTCTGGGGACTCAAGCTAGATGACTTTTACAACTGTTTTTGGTGCACGCTGCTCCAGACAGTTGGCCTTGAGTCTGGCACAGCCTCTCACCTGGCCRTGTCCTGCATGGGCAGCACTGAACCCGGTCAGAACAGAGAGCACCAGCCCTTCACACCACGGCTAGGATGGAGGTGAGCCCCCTTGCTCTCTCCTTAGGAACCTTGCAAGCTGGGGACTTCATTTTCAACTGTCGTTTTCTCCAAAACATGGATTCTTCATCCATCTTTGGAGGTTTGGGTTTGGACTGACTTGGGTTAATGTGGTGGAGTTGGCATGAAATGCAGTTCTGYATTGTGTGGCCACAGCAGACTTACTGTCTTACGGAAGAAAAAAAATGCTGTGTCTGTATTGACACCTATTTTAACTTCTCTGAAACCAAGGAGCAATTTAAATAAATAGAATTCTATTTTTTCTTATTTTGTTTAAACTTCCCAAATTATTCCTGGGAATAGGAAAAGGTTAATTTTTAATTTGTGGTGTATATGCACTCGCCTTTCATGTCAGTAGTGGGGAGAGTGATAGCTCTGTGTAGTTGTATGTTGTGCTTTCTGGAAAGCAGCAAATTGTGCATTTCTGTGCAGCCCAGAACTTGTGCACAGGTCTGGGTTGCTCCCTGAGTGGGGATTCTCCTGCACTGTGTGTCTGTAACACCTCGCTCCTTGGGAGGGAGGAGCAGTGTTACTGCAGAGCAGTCCCAGTGACCTSGCTGCAGGGAGGATTGGACACAGGAGGTGGTGTGAGTGTGTGCATCCCAAAACTGATCACCTGGTGACAGGGAACACTGATGGAACTGAGTGCTGCCTTTGCCTGCTGCACACATTTGGGAGAGGCTGTTGCTGATCCAGTGCAGTGGAAAGGCAGCGACTCCCTTCTCTATGTACAATGTCTGTTTTTAGTCAAACAAACTGAGTTTCTTGTCCAGTTGTTGGTAGACTGAACCAACCTGGCTGTTGATGTCTCAAGGTCTTAGAAATGGGTTTTGGAAAATTGGCTTTAAGTCTAAATGTTTTTCTCCCTTGAAACCCAGCTTTTAAGTAACTGTTCTGTAAAGTAGTGGATTATTAAACACGTTTATCAAAGCTGATGTTGAAATATCTTTCTTAATATTTTGTGGATTTGTTCTCCTTGAGGTTTTGGAATTGCTRAGTGGTTTCTCTCTGCTATTGTAGGCAGGAACTGTTCTTTTTGGTGCATGGARTGTTGGCACAGAAGATTTTGAGGGGCCGATGAACTCCCTGGTTTTGGTACAGTGTTTAGCAGGGGACTGCCAGTGGAAATTGCCTGTTGTTTACAGCTTTCTTCTAGTGTCATATTAGCACATCTGGAGAGCGACTGAATTTGGGGAGAGGGTGTTTTAAGGGTGATGTTCATTTGGTCATTGGTAAAGTCTGCTACAGTCTGTGTGAACAGCATCTGAGAGAAGGTAAATGCCACCGTAAGGACACATTTTTTGGGGATTTTTGCCCCAATTGYATTGTTATTCAAAAAGTAAAGACACTTAACCTTAGGACCCCTGCTTTTGTGCCAGGGACAAATATTTTAGTTTGAGTAGAAAAAGTTCAGTTCCATTTCCCCCTTTTAATTACATGCCCAGCTCTTAACATATTCTTAGGCTACGTGGTAGAGGAGGGCCAAAAACAACTGGTTGTGATGTGCTTATATATCAGTTTGCAGAAGCTGCAGTGCTGCTCAAGATTTCTTCAGTGACTGGAAAATAGTGACAGGTGATGGAGGTTTCTTGGTTCTTCCCCTCAAARCAGAAATAGCTCAATTACTGTAAGGAAAAAAAAAAAAAAAGAATAGTGCTGCATAGTGTGTTAGGTTAGAGCTGTCTGGATGGCCACCTTTGCCAGCAAAGTGTGATGTCCATATTTTTAATAAGCAACTGATGGAATGTTGTAATTAAAGTTTATGGACAAGGAACACCACCTCTGCCCTTGTCCTCCATGAAGAACAGCTGCTCCTGCTCATCTGAAGGTGGCACTGCAGCAGTGACAGAGTGACAAAGGCTCTACAGGTAAGCAGTGCAGGGCTGTGCACTCCCAAATTGTTGTCCATGTCCTTGTGGGGATGGAGATGAGACTTAGGAAGTACTGGAGTGAGACTGTCCCACACATCCCATTATACAGTAAAAACGTCCGTTCATTTCCTCAGTCACTGCAATTTGGACCATACAGAAAGTGGGGGCTAGAGCTGAAAAGCTTTAAATTGCATTAGTGGTTGTCACTTAATTGCTCGCTTGTAACACTTCCACAGGGGGGAAGGATAAGGCTCAGAATCAGTGAGCTGATGAATATTTCATTCACTGCAAATAAATGAAGACTTAATTTGAGCATGGTCTCCTGGAAGATAAAAAGCCTGAGTTTCTTCCTTTCCACTTTTATGAAATGCATAACGCTTCCAGTCTGATTTGGGGTACCTGTCTAGATCTTGTCATGTCTTTGCATTCTGGAGGAGGCTTAGAGTACTTGGAGTATCTTGCACCCTGGGAATTAAGTGAAGGATTCAACAACTGCACTGACAAGGTACTCAGGATGTCTCAGCATTTGGCTTCAGAGGGAAATGAAGACACTGGTCACCTGTAGATCAGTGTGTGTAAATCAGACATCAGCAGGAGAGCTCTGTGCACCCTCTGACAGTGGTGGTTACAAGAAGCTGGCTGGAATGCTGGGGGGCTGTGCAGGTTGGCTCTCAAATAAGCAGTTTGAAAACAGCCACTGTCAGGCAGGAGCCACCTCTGCACAAAAGGCATGTGATGCTTCCACCTTCTGCAGTCAGCGTAGCCTGGCAGTGCTGCTGCCACCAACATACCTGTGGTTCTATAATGGATCAGATACTATAAAATAAGATACTTATCTTAACATAGAATGTCCTACAGTCTGTAGTGGGGGAAATGAGRTTTAGCATTAGAGAACTCTCCTGAATAGAGAGATCACAAGAAATACCACATCAGTAGCAACTTCCATATCAAGAATATCATTTGAGTATGAAAGTGAAGGCACAGGTCAGTGTCCAGCAGCAACACCTTTTTATACAACTTCCTTGCAGTCCATGCAATATAAAAGTAAATTAAGAAACATCAGTGCCATCTTGAATTCAGTGCAACAGCAGTCCCCTCTTAGCTCAGAGCAGAGCTCTGTATCTTTATCTGTATTGAGTAGTTTTTTGTCATCTCTGTTTTTCAGCTTCCCCGGCGCTTCCGCAGTTGGCAACGAAGAGTGGAAGATGAACAATTTCCCAGCACATTCTGCAGCCTGTTCCAAAGACACCACATTGGCACATTTACTACTGCAAGGTTAACCAGCCCATGTTCAAACACTGGGGGTCTCAGAGAACACTGCACATTGTGCCAGCTCCTCAGAGGTAAATCATTCATCTCCAGACTCAGAACCTGATGGAATAAACCCCCGGACAAACGRGGGCTTTTATGTCAGTAAACAACAACAGTCCAGCACACAGGTCTGCTGCTGATGCATTCTGACAACACTTTGTACAGAGGCAATGTAGGAGTGCCTCTCTTGGAGACTTTCCAATTGGACATAAGCAATTTRTGCAACAAACATCAAARTACAAATAYTCAGATTGGATCAAATKAAAAKAAAATGCCATTTAACAGAAAAATTATTTCTTTCAGTTCAGGCACACTAGTGTTCCATACATTTTTATAAGTGGGTGACAATTACATCCCTGAGGTAGATACCACATTCAAATCTACATTGCCAAGATTACAGACACACCACCATTGGTACTCTTTCTTCTCCAGGTCTTAAAGACCTGCACATTTCAAAATAAGCTGTGGCATTCTTCTGGGAAACCAGAAATCTCTGCTATGGCAGAAACACAACCAAAGGCAGCACCTGACTTTGAAAATGATTCAAATTTCACCCCTAGTATTTCAAGAACAGTTTACTATGCCAATTGCCACAAACGCCAATTTCTTCAGTTCCTTTGAAGAAGCATTCTGCTRAAGGCTGAAAGACTTCCCAAATACTTGTTTGTCCTGATATGCATCAGGAATTACTGACATTGCTTTTAACAAAATTTCTCAAGTGTATATAAACAAAATTTGTTTTATAATCTGTTCATCATGGTTGTTATTCCTGCAAACAAAATTTGCTTTTTAATCTCTTCATCATGGTTATTCCTGTTACTGTTGCAACCATTAGTAGCACACTGTCAATGTTACATTATGTTACATTATATTTCTTGGTTTCCATGACTAAACAGTTCTGACCTCATTGCCTGGGGTGGGTTTTGTCTCCAACATCCCTCCCAATCCCACTGTGAGGGTGAAGTGAGCAAGTGGCTGCTGCTGTGGAGTGGCCGGCTGGGTTCAGCCATCCCTGAGTCACTGCTGGGACTCACAGAGAGACCCAGCGCTGCATTTGGGGGCTTGGAACTAAACTTTTGGGCTCACTTGGTCAATTTTTGGGCTCACCAAGAGAGACCAAGTGCTACGTTCAGGGGGCTCAAAACTCAGGCTCAGAGCTTAAAAAAAGAGACTAAATCCTGCATTTTGGACTCAGAAACCAGGCTCGCATGGCCAGATTTGGGGCTCAGAAACAGTGACTAAGCCTTGTGTTCTTGGGGCTTAAGTCAGACCAAGAGTGCCTGAGCTTCAGAGACCATGTACTGCAGTTTGCTCAAAACCAGACTAATTGGGCTAAGTGCAGACACAGATTAATGAGGAGTCATGTTTTGGGGCTTCAAACCAGGGCTGCTCAGATAACATTTGGGCTCACACAGAGCATTGAGGGGGCTTGAGGCAGAGACCAAGTCCTGTATTCTGGGGTTTAGCTTCACAAAGTGATGTGTTTTGGGAAGCTTGAAGTAAAGGCCATATCCTGCCTGTGTTTTGGAGTTCAAACCGGGTTCATTTGGTCAGCATGAGTCTCTGCTGCTCAGCTCTAAGGCCTGCCTTTGGCACAGCCCAATCCCGGCCCCAGGGAGAGCCCAGAACCAGCGATCGGATCTGCCTTTGGGGATGGAGGCGGATCCCCAGGGCCGCGTTTGGGGGCTCAGCCCGGGCTCCCGGGACGGTTTTAGGGCTCAGAGCAGAGCCCGACTCCCGCATTTGGGGACAGGGGCAGAGCCCAGCCCTGCTCGTCGGGGTCAGCACGGGATCCCGGGGGCCGCCCCGGTCCCGGCACAGCCCCGGCTCCCCGAGCCCGGGACCCCGAACCCCGCGCCGGCCGCAGCCACAGCGGGACCCGGCAGGACTCGGGCGCGAATCTCGGGCTCCCGGCCCGGCCCCGCCGCAGCGCCCCGGGCTCGGCGTGAGAGCGGCCCCGGGCCGGGGATGGAACAGCGGTGACCCCGGGACAGCGGCCCCGCCCGGGGAGGGACAAGGGCGGGACAAGGGCGGGGCGGGATGG